AATTCCAAATTAGCAACCCAAGATCAATGCTGAAATAAGGTGCATTTCTGAAGCTTAAACATTGACATCCTTCCCACTGCTCAGTTGTTTGAAACATTTAAATGTACGGTTTAACAGATTGTGATGAAATATCCCAATATAGTCCAATAGTCCAAAATAGTGGTGGGTTATCAAGAACTGGTAATTTTCCGAAGTTGTTGACATGAGCCTTTTACAGCTCAGCACATTAATATAGCTTTACTTTCTATACCTCGTGGTTATACTTTTCTGCTGGATTGTTAAGACCAAATTAAAGCAAGCCTATATAACTAAAAGTGTAACTTTTGTATCTGACAAGGCCAGTCAAATCTCCTCAGGATTTACCCTAAAACCATGTAGAGCTGTTTGTAGATCTTTTGTCAGTGTCAGCCATCTGGATGAGTCACGGCCATTGCTTGGTCAATTTCTCTCGGTGAAAGCCTGAGAGAATGTTTTCTCTCCAGGTGACTCTCTTCAGGCACACTCTACATCGTTGATCACTTTCCTCTGTGGCCACATAATGTCCTTGAACAGAAAATTTGGAACTAAGTTACAGAATGTCACAGCACAGGTTCTCTTATGTCCTGAGTGCTCACTGACCTTGAAGGTTTAGGGCCAAAATATTGGTTATCCTTGTAGCCCTTCTTTTTCTCTAATTTTTGGTCTGCAAACTTTAGTTGTTAACTATCCAGAAGAGAAGCTTAATGACATTATTACCCTGTAACAGAGGCAGTTGAGCTTAACATCACTATCTGTCTGAATATCAAATGTCTTAGACATAACATAGAACTGATATTTTCCAACAACCATGGAGATTCTAACCTGTAAATCCCTATGGATGGAAAAACAAACAATTACACAATTTTCCACACAAATTTAGAAATCAAACCATACATAACATTGTAGCAGGACAATCCTATGACATTTTTTTCTTGTCTCTTGTTTTTTTTTATTACTTTTTTTATAAATTTTTTTACAAAAAAAAAGAGAGAGTGTAGCAATAATTGATATAATGTTAGAAGAAGTATGCATTTAGAAGACCAAAATGATAGGTATGTCAAGCATGGTTTTAGTGTTACACAATGCTATCCTCCGTGTAGTTGCTTAGTTCACAGATATCAGCATACAGAGTTAGTCAGAGTGAGAATTCTGCCCACTGACTGCTATTTTCAAAAGCCTGATGGAGATTCTTAAGACCATCACCTTCACCATCTTGTGTATATAAATGTATGGTTTTGCCCCAATCATGTTTCCTAACTTTTCTACTTTCTCTTCTTCATTGCTTAATCCTTAAGTTTTCATTTTCCATTTAACTATGTTATACCATTTAATTTTTATTTCTTCTTTTGAGTTCTTCCACTAGGGAGACAATATGATACTACACATGTGGGTCAGGTTTATTTCACTTATTAGTATATCTTCACGTTGCGTCCACTTATATATGAAGGCTTTGAGTTTATTTTTCTTTATAGCTGAGTAAAACTCCATTGTATAAAAACATCACATCTTATCCATCCATTCCTCTAGTGATGGGCATTTTGGTTGTTTCCAAGATTTGGCTATCACAAATTGTGCTGCTATAAAAATAGGTGCACATATATCACTATGATATGATATTTTTAGTTCTTTTGGGAAGAGTTCCAGAAGGGAGATAGCTGGATTGAATGGTATGTGCAGTCCTAGTTTTTTGAGGAGTCTCCAATTTCCATAACAGTTGCACAGTCTACATTCCCACCAGCAATGGAGAAGGGTTCTTTTTTCCCCACGGCCTCTCCAAAATTTGTTGTTGGTTGATTTCTTTATGATAGTCATTCTTTATGTGGTGAGATGGTATCTCAATGTTGTTTTAATTTGCATTTCATGAATGGCTAGTGCTATGGAGCACTTTTTCATGTATTTATTTGCATCTTGTATTTCTTCCTCTGAAAACTGTGTGTTCATTTCGGATGCCCATTTCTGGATTGGGTCTTTAAATATTGGGGTCCTAATGTTTTTCAGTTCTTTGTAAATTCTAGATAGAAGACCTTCATCTGAGTGCTTATTAGCTAAGATTTTTTTCCCAATTTATGGGTTGTCTTTTCACTCTGTTGGTAAGTTCCTTTGACATGCAAAAACTTCTCAATAAGAGGAGGTCCCAGTTGTTAATTCTTTCAAATATTTCCCACGCACTTTGACTTTTGTTCATGAACTGTTTGCCTACCTCTATGTCTTCAAGAGTTCCTCCTACTTTCTCTTTCAGGAGATTTAATGTTTCTGTTTTAATGTTTAGATCTTTAATCCATTTTGATTTTAGTTTATTCCTCTCTTGTCTTTTTGTTGTTGTTGTTGTTGTTGTTGTTGTTGTTTGGTGGTGGTGGTGGTTTTGTTTTGTTTTGTTTTTTGCTGTACTGGGGTTTGAACTCAGACCTTGCACTTGCCAGGGAAGTGCTTATTCTACTGAGCTACTGAGCTCAGTAGCTTATTCTACTGAGCTCCCCGGCCCATTCTCTCTTATCTAATTGCTCTGGCTATCATTTCCAGAACTATATTGAATCACAGTATAGACAGTGGACATCTTTGTCTTCTTCCTGATTTTAAAATGAAAGCCTTCAGTGTTTTCCCATTTAGTATGATGTTGGCTGTTCATTTCTTGTACATGGCTTGATAATTTGCTACATTGTTTGCTTGTATTTTACTAAAGATTTTTCCACCTATATTCATTAGAGAGATTGGCCTGTAGTTCTCTCTTTTAGCTGGATCTTTCTCTGCTTTTGGAATCAGACTAATACTTGCCTCCAGGAATGAGTTTGGGAGAACTGCTTCCCTTCCAGTTTCATTGATGAATTTGAGAAAAGTTGGCATTAAATATTCTCTAAACATCTTGCAGAATTCTGCTGTGCATCCAATGGAACTTTGGCTTTTCATTGTTTATAGATTTTTTTACTACATTTTCAACTTTGTTTATCATTATTGGCAGGCTGCTCAGAGTCTGCCAACTTCTGAATGGCTCCAGGAAAGCTTGCGCCTGCTCACACTCAGCCCACAGATCACAACTGTCCTGCATCTCCAGGCCACATAGAGTCCTCCTGAATTCTTAAACACCAGCAGAAGCTCCACACCTGCATGCTGGGGGATAAGGAAGGTCCGAGCCTACCAGAGCCTCACAGGCTATCTAGAGTCTGCCGCAGTTCTTAAATGGTGCCAGGAAAGCTCCACGCCAGCTCGCACTGGGCCCACAAATCGCAGCTCCAGTGAAACACATCTTTGCTGGCTTCAGGTCCCTCAGAGTCCTTCCCATTTAGCATGAAACCAGTGGAGTTACAGAAGGTGACCTAGCCGGTGCTGGTTCTCAATGTGCTGCAGACTGGTACCATGGCACGTGACAGCAATTATTTTATTTCTTTCTTATATCTAGTTGCTGTGGCTAATGTTTCCAGAACTGTGTTGGTTAGGAGTAGTGACAGTGGGCATCCTTAGCTTGTTCATTATTTTAGAGGAAAAGCATTCAGTTTTTGATCATTTTGTGTGATGTTAGCTACTGGTTTGTTATAAATGGCTTCTATCAGATTGAGAAAAAGACAATTTTCTATAAAGCTTTTTAAATAAACTGGTACGGCGTTTTGTCAAGCACTTTTTATGAAACTATTGAGACGTTTGGGTAATTTTTGTCCATGGTTCTGTTAACATGTGTATTATATTTATTAAGATATGCATTATGAACCATACCTACATCCCTGGGATAAATCCTACTTGGGGAATTTTGTGTAATCTTATTGATGACTTACTGAATTCTGTTTGCTGTTCTCTTACTGAGGACTTTAGTTTCTATGTTTATTAGAAAGATAGGCCTATAGTTTTCTTTTTCTGTTGGATCCTCCTCTGATTTTGGTGTCTCCTTCCAGGAATGAGTTTGCAAATATTGCTTCTTCTTCAATTTCTTTAAAGAGTTTGAGGAGTAGTGTCATTAACACTTCTCTAAATGCCTTATAGAATTCAGCAGTGAACCATCAAAACTTAGGCTTTTCTTGGGTGGTAGTTTTTAAATTATTCCTTCAGTTTCATTGGCTGGCATCCAGTTAGCTTTGTTAACCTATATGTATGTAGGAATTTGTCCATTTCTCCTACATTTTCCATCTTAGTGCAGCATAGGTTCTTCATTGATGTAAGTATTGATGACTTTCTGGATTTCTGCAGGATCGGATATGATCTTACCCTTTTCATTTCTAACTACATGGATCTGAGTCTTTTCTTTTTTGTTGTAAGTTTGGCTAACGGTTTTCGTACTTTATTTAATCTTCTGAAGAGCCAACTATTTGATTTGTTGATTCTTTGTATTGTTTTATTAGTCTCAGTTGCACTGATTTCTAATCTTTATTCCCAGGTCGGTTGTCCCTTTCATAAAATATGAAATTAAAATTTCACATCCTCCTCCATTCAGTGATCTCAGTGGATGAGCCCCAAATGACATAGAGGAAAATGAACCTCTCAACCTGAAAGGTACCTGGGATGAGTTGTGTTCTCTAAGACCAAGCAATGAATTTTATGAACAAATGCAGGTTAAGAGTAGAATATATTTATTGAGGGAAAAAAAGCTTCTGTCCAAGAGAAGGACAGGAGGGGGGGCCCAAGTGGGTTGTCCCCAGATGCAGCTTTTTCTTATCACTATTAATTTTCCAAAATGTGCAGCAGAATTTTCCTGAGCTAATGTGTCCTCCTATGATGGCAGACTCTAGGCCTTGAGCGGTCCATTTTATGTCACCTGGTGAAACTCCCTCTCCATGGGACGCTGGGCCTGAGCCATTCACTAGCTGTTGTAGTTCCATTGGTGGGTTTCTCAGTGAGGGCCTCTTCTTTCACCTCAAAAAGGAAACCATAAAAAGGAAATTTCAGAACACGATAACCAGAGAGTAACAATAATTAATACATCATATATTGTTATATTTATAGTAGTTACTCAGACTACAAGATACAGGCATGAGACATTGTACAAACAATATTAACTTTTTCTTTGGCAGCACATATACTAGAATTGGAACAATACAGAGAAGATTGGTCTGGCCCCTGCGCAAGGATGACGCACAAATTCATGAAACGTTCCATATTTTTAGTGATCCGGGGGACTCCAGGTCTTTTCGGCACTTTTCTTTGCTGAACAGAGGAAGCCGCTGCTGGAATCACCAAGAAGCTGGAGAGACAGGAGGAGAAGCGCTTGAAGACAGCAAAGAAGAGGCTGGCTGCACTGCTGCTCTGCATCTTCAGAAAACAGTGGTAGCCGGAGGAGCACGAGGAGACACAGGAAAACCCAGAAAGACAAAACTCGAGGAGGCGCCTCGGGAGAACGGAAGGGATTGTCCATCTGACTCTATTTTCAAACTCAAGAAAAAGAAATCTTTTGCCAAGGAAGAGTTGATTAGTAGTGACCTGGCAGAGACAGCTGCTGGCAGCCCAAGTCCACCCAAAAAAGAAGAAATCTTCACCCAAGAAGGAAACAGCCAGTGAGCCAGAAAAGGCAGCCAGAAGTGTCCCCAAGAAAAAGAGAAAATTTTCTTCTAAGGAAAAGCTAGTCAGCAGTGGGCCTGGAGAGGCTGCTACCAGCAAGGACAGTGCCAAGAAAATAAAGGAAAAGCTTCAAAGAATGTCCCAGGAGGATTAGAATCCATATTCCCTGGGGGCAAGGAATGGGGTGGGGAGTGCCCCAAGGTGACATTTCCCATCTTATGCCCTAAATCCCAGTCAACAAAAACAAATTTAAGAAGAAATATATATATATATATATATATATATATATATATATGCACAGGCCTTTTGTGGAGGCCTCCTGAGTCAGCTACTTTCACTGTGCCTCGGCAAGCTAGAACTCACAGAGAAAATTCACTTTTCAGCCTTCTTTTTGTGCATCAAGGTCTGGCTTTTTTTTTTTTTTTTTTAGCACCGGGAATTGCACTCAGGCCCTTGTGCTTGCCAGGTAAGCACTTATTCTACTGCGCCATCCCCCAGCCCTGAGCGAGGTCTGTCTCTTCACCTTCCCCGCTAGGCCCAACTCTCCCTCCCGATCCTCCCTTAAGCCCAGAGTCCCTGCTCTTTTTGCTCTTTGCCCACGTTGTTCTGTTCTAGTGTTGGGATTCTGAGTCTCAGTTAATGCTAATCACTGCCATCTTCCCATAACTCTCTTTTTAAGAATTTTATTTTTCTGATATGCAGACAGATAGTAAGGTTAAGCTTAACAGCCTCAGTTGTATGGTAATAACAATAAGCTTGTCTTCTGGATGGTTAACAACCTAAGTTTGCCGACCAAAATTAGAAAAAAAGGAGGGCTGCGAGGAAAGCCAACATTTTGGCCCTAGCCTTCTAAGGTCAATTAAGACTCAGGACATATGAGAACTTGTACTGTAACGTCATGTAACTCTGTAGTGTCGCAAATTTTCTGATCAAGAAGATTATGGGGCCAAAGAGGAAAGTGATCGATGAGATAGAGTGTGCCTAAGGAGAGTCACATGGAGAGAAAACATTCTCTTAGGCTTTCACAGAGAGCACATTAGCCAAGCAATGGCCATGACTCATCCACATGGCTGACACTGACAAAGGTTCTACAATCTGAGGTACAGGATCTCAGGATAAATCCTGAGGGCATTTCACTGACCTTCTCAGACCCAAAAGCTACAACTCTTGTTGCATAGGTCCTGCCTTACCTTGGTCTTAACCATCCAGCAGAAAAGTATAAAAACGAAATATAAGAAGTAAAGCCATGCTGTTATGTTGAGCAATAGGGGACTCAGGTCAACAATTTCTGACATTGCCAGTGAAGCGGAGGACCCAATACTATTATGGGCTACTGGATTCTTTTAGAATATTTTGCTGAGTTTATACACCTATAATATTCAAATAACAGAACTTAACAACAAAAAGGGGATGCAGATGAATGTCCATTTTGTATCTGTGTATTCAAATGGCTAGGATCGATATACCATTACATTCTCTTAATGAATAGAGGGATTTGTTCTAATGGTGTTTGTAAATAGGATATCATGTCCACATCTTGTTCAGCAATTAACCACTAGGAAGAATGTATATAATGTGTTAATTATTGAAACTTTCCTACCAGTTTGGTTTGAAACTGTCTCATTGCTGTTTGTTTCTCAATAAATTTATGGGAAAAAAAACAGAGAAAAAATAAATAAAAAGAATTTTATTTTTATTGAGAGTTCATGAATATTTGAGTCGCTCATCTATTAGATGAATAGCTGACAAAAATACCCTCCATTCCATTCTACACCTTGCCTCATCACTCGTGTTTTTCTTTTCTAAGCAAAGGAATTTTAATTTAATGCCATCTCAGTTACCAACTTTAACTCCTCTTGCTTTTGGCGCTTTCCATGAGCTCGCTGCCTGTGTCAGGATCCTGAAGTGCCTTCCCCAGACTTCTCTCTTACAGTTTTAGCATCAAGCTTTCCATTAGGTCATGAAATTTCTTTCTTTTTTTTGTGGCAGAACCGGGGATTGAACTCAGGCCTTTGTGCTTGCCAGGGAAATGCTTATTCCACTGAGCCATCTCCCCGGCCTGAGATTTTTTTCTTTTACTTCATTCTCTCCGTTGGTAATTGGTTTTAATGGTTGGAGCTACTCAAGATAACTGCTTTTTACTAATTTATTTTTTTAACCTCTTTCTTAATCTGTTATATATTCTCTAAAAACTTATTGGTGTACTTTTCAACTGCTAGTTTTGTGGTTATAGTGTGCTATCCTTGGCAAAGCACTTTTTCTATGTGGTTATTATATATACTTTATTTCAGTTATTGTTATTTTCAGTGTTTTCCCTTTAATTTCCATTATGCGTCATTTCTACCTGCTGTCAGTTTTTACAATGGTTGCTTTCCATGTTGCCATGTTTTGTTCTCCTCATGCAAAATAGTGTTCTCTTTAATTCATTAGAGAGCATAAATATAGTTCATGCATATTCACTCTGATTTTCATTGTGTCTGTTGTTTGCTGAGCTGACTCTTCTGCCAAACGGTAGGATGCAGCTTCTTCTTAGCACTGTTAACTGTCCTGAGGCGCAACAGAATTTTCCTGAGGTGGCATCTTCCTGGGACGGCGGCCTCCGGGCATTGCGTGACCCCCTTTCCTCAGATGTCCAAGTACAGGGCAGCACACGTTCCCTCTGCGCATCCGTCCTCACTAGCAGCTTTGTCTGCCTCTGACCAACCTCCAGGAACCCCCACTCCACAATCGGGGCCTGTGAGAACACCACATAGGACTTTTACATTCTTACCCAGATGTGAAAGGACCCGCAGCTCTGCAGCCCACCGCGCGGACTCGTACCTGTGGCCTCCAGGCCGAGAGTGCTGCTCTGCACTTGCTCGGCTTGCACAACAGCCCATGACAGTGTACAGCCTCTTCTTCCCGACACACACTGCCCTGTTAGCATACATGTTCCGGAACCAGTCGCGATAGCTACTTATGTTCAGGAAAGTGGAAAATTCAGAAATTACAGATAAAAATCACGGTTGCTCCCCCAGATCTTACGCTGCTACATATAGAAGCCCAAAAATAGAGGATTTTGTTGTCACAAATATAGAAACTGGTATTTGCTATGTACTGATCCATGGGATCAAAAGAAAGGGGAAACGGGTTGTGTTTCAAAAGTCAAATATGGAGCCCACCTCTTGCATCGATACTGAGGGACTGACTTGTCAAGTCTGCGAAGGCGTGCACTCGGGAGATAGTCCGCACACAGGGGTGCTCGCGTGTGTGTGGCCCACAGCGCAAGTGTTCTGCGCCTGTCCTCAACCTTGTGTAGCCAGGCTGATGATTCTGACTTGGGCATTCCCCAGAAAAGTGGCCCAAAGGTCAGGAAGGGCCCGAGCTGCCACGGGCCCTTCTGGGAACCTTCCAGCTCACATCTGTTTTCCTCCAGGGCAGTCCACTTCCATTACTTTAAATGATGTATACGGAAATGGGATGCAGTCCCCCCAAGGGTTGTTTGAGCCTGGGCCCTTGCTCTCAATGGGCTTGGTTGAAACCTGGGCACCTGGGGCTGCAGCAGATGGTCCTCAAACACGTTTTTCTCCTTCATTTTCTCAGCTGAACACAGGACCACAGATGCAGAACCTCAGGCGAGAAAGATTTCCAGTCTCCAGGAGAGTGGGAGAGGCTGAGGATATGAGAATTAAGAGTTGGAGAGAGTTAAATGTCCATGCCTGACAACCAAACACAGCATATCTCTCTCTCTGTCTCTCTCTCTCTGTCTCTCTCTCTCTGTCTCTCTCTCTCTCTCTCTCTCTCTCTCTCTCTCTCACACACACACACACACACACACACACACACACACACACACTGCAGCCTTCATCTCTGATCAGGTGTGTTTAGGGCTATGCAGATTTTCCAAAGATGTTCACTTTAATTTTTGTCTTCTGCATCCCAAACCTTCACCTCATTTTTGGCAGTTTGGCCACTTTGAGAATAAACAATAATTTCTACAAAGATGGAGATATGGTAATTGGTGGGTTCTTTCCCCTTTACACACAGCAAGCTTTGCAGGACACTACGTAGTAAGAAAATATTTTCTCTGGGGTAAGTGTCATTTTCAACTATTGATTTTCTGTATTGATTGACTGACATGATATAAAGTATGTGGACAGATGGACCTATACTCTGTGTATCTCCTGTTGTGTTCCTTCCAACCTTACCACCCAAGGCCTAAGTATAATTTAGGTTTCCTTTTTCTCCTGAGTGTTTCCCCACTTGCAAAGAGAAAGAGAAATCTTTTGTTTTTCCTTCCTTCTGATTCCCCTGGAAGCTTGGAGTGGAGAATGGCAGGGCTCTCCACATTGCTTCAACTCTTCAGTGCCTCCTCCTGACAGCTTCTATTAGACAGGGTCAAATTTTGACCCTCAAAAACACAGTCCACACTACTGACATGACTTCAGTGCTAAGGGCTGCTGCAAGGTTTTTCTTCCACAGGGTCCAGAGACTGCTAATGTTTCTCCCATCAGCATGTAATTCCTAATATCTCTACAGACTGTACACTGCTTTTAAGCCCAATGTGCTTGGCCAACTTCTCACTGGAGGTATTTCTTCTTTTAGATAATCTACATCATTATCTCATT